ACTCCAGCTCTAGTGCGGATTAAACGGTGTCTAGATGATGGATGGATTTAGTCAGAAAAACACCGTAAACGCTTCTTTTACTTTTCTTTCGTCAGTAGGTGGCAGCAGATTCCAACAAAACTGATCCAATTGTCACGTCTTCACGAGCACATAACAAACACACAAAGGCAGGAAGACGTTCAACACAGATGGGCTGACATGAAGTACTTTTTTACATTTTAGATTACTTTCCATTAATCACGCATGTGCGGGATTTGTTTGTGATTTTGGCATGAAGAAAACATCAATCAGAGTCTGCAGATGAAGCTGACGCCAAACACGGGAAATAGATTAGTGTGGTTTCAAAGTAAAATGCGTTTTGCCTTTCTAATTTGACAGGTGGTTGTTACAAATATATTTATACATCACCACAGCTTAGGTCAAATGCCTGATTTACATTATTTTTCTTTCTTTCTTTCTTTCTTTCTTTCTTTCTTTCTTTCTTTCTTTCTGTTTTATCTGTTTCTGTTTTTTTTGATTATGACTACTGTAATAAAGGAAACTCTTGAGATCTCAGAGATTTTGGACTTTAGGTTTAACTACGTAACAGACTATTTCATTTTATTTTATTTTGTCTTTCAGATGATTGCAAGAGCTTCCTACACCATCATGCTTAAAAAACAAACAAACACTTTTGTTAAAATACTGTTTCCACAAACAAACAAACAAACAAACAAACAAACAAACCCATGGCTGATATGAGACCTTACAGAGGATAAAGAGACGGGTTTTCAGTCCACTGTCCTGCCGTCAAGACACGATACTTTATTTTGGTAACAACCAACCGGACGTCGCGTCGTCCTTCCCGCTAACTGCACCGACCGCCCCAGAGTCAGGAAACAAGCCGTGCCGAGCTGTGCCGTGCCCCTGCACTTCAACCCGGTCTTCGCGCACATAGCTCAGCCTTTGTCGGAGGATGGAGCAGCTTCCTGAGAACACGTTTACAGTCTGAGGAACCGTCGAAGCCGACAAAGCGCGCAGAGCTGTTTGAGGAAACATCCGGAGGTGTCCGTGAGGAGCGAGGGCGACCTGTCATGGGTGTCACGGTGTTCCCCGGCAGGTAAACGTTAGCAGGCAGCCTGGCTAGCGGCTCAGCTAGTCACCAGTCGGTAGCTAGCTTTTAGCAAGCAGCAGCCACCGCGAACTAACTAACAAGTCGGTTTGCATGAGGAGTTGCGAGGTGCCACAAAAACCGTCTGGCATGGATCATTGTCGCCCCGCAGACGCCCCGCTGCCCATGTGAGCCACTTTAGCCGCCTTCTCATTGTCTTCGAGGAGACTAGTGGCTGCTGACGCTGCAAGGGTGACTGACAGCTCGTCACGACGTGTTTTCCAGATGTGCAGTGTAGTCCGGCTGTAGGATGGCCGAGCACAGCCGCAGGACGGGCTGCTGACAGAACCGCTGCACACTCAACTCCAGCAGCCTCAACAAGCCATGGTTTCCATTTCAGCAGCGAGGTGTCCCTGAAGTCTACAGCACACTAGCTGACACGTTGGAACCTCGGCTGTCGTCTGGGCCAGGTTCAAACACACGAGGAGCGTTTCTACGGTTCCGACAAAGATGAAGAGGACAGAAAATCCAAACAAGAGGAAGCTGTGCAGCATGGAGCAACCGGGCAGCGGACCGGGAGAGCAGGACGCGGTGAGTAGAGCCACCGGGCCGCTGACACATGAACTCCGGTTAGAACTGACAAACATGCTGGGAACTAGAAAACCTGGTGTCCTGGTCCAACAAGAGCCTGTCAGTCCGCGCACAGGCAACAGACAACCACCAAGTACTGTGTGGTGCGTTTAAAACTAAAGTACTGATTAGCTTTGCTCTTGACACTCCCTGCTTCAAGAAACACCGACACGGTGCTTGTTTTGGTCCATTTATGCCATCGTTTGTTATAAATAATACTGCCATGCAGACCAGAGCTGTCCTAGTGAGGCTTGCTTTAGATCTGTTATAAAATAGGCATGTCTTCAGTACTTCATTGCCCATACTTGTGGCATTATTAAGAGAGCCACACAGCAGTGTACTTAAGGCTCGTGCTTCATTACACACTCAACAAAATATAAGAAAAAACACAAATGTTGTGATTGTCTTTTATATCTGCTGTCAACACGACAACAGGAAGATGGCCGCAACTCTTTACCCTCACACATTTATGAAGTGAAATCAACAATTTTCTTGGCTCCAGATGTGAGGAAGTTAAACCCCAATTGACAACATTTGTTAAAAGAAAGATTTTTTTGCCTTCAATTCTTATCATGTGAACACTGGCTAAAATTTGTCTCTGTGGGGCAAAATCCTGGTCAGTCGCATGTTGCGAGAGTCTCTGTTGCTGCACCGTTGCCTGTTCTTGTCTAGGTATATCTGATATGTCTGTGCTATTGTTACAATATCAGACGTAGGACTTTGATGTGATGCCTGCCTGAATATCTTAATACTGAGACTGAAATGATACTGTGGAAAAAAAAAAAAGAGTCAAATTTGGAGCTCAAAACTTGTTTCTATATCAGTTAAAAAAAAAAAAAGCAGTGGACAACGTGAAGCCATAAAATAACAGGAGTGAATTGTTGTGTTATATCGTCATTTATCATTTGTTGATTTATTTTTGTTGACAAAAAGAGAGAAAAGCAGTGACCCAGTGAAATGACCCTGCTGCTAGGGAGGGTGTGAGTATTTAGCATAATCAATAACATTCACAAAATGTTTTTTTGTTTTCGGTAGTTTTAAAAAACAAAACAAACCAATAAAACCTTCAGTTAATTAGAACAAGTGTTTTGCCACTGCCTAATTGTTGCATCCTGACGTCGGTTGTTTCTGGCTACAGTCACTGGTCAGCTACAGCCAGTGCTACAGTTTTAGATAAAGGTGGTGGGGCAGAGTCCAGCTCGGTTAAATGTAAAAGTTTCCAAAGACCTGCACCTTCAAGAGTACTGGAGTTCTTTAAATTATTCCAGAACAAAAGAAGTGGGTTTTTTTGTTGTTTTTTTTTCCACTGAGAGTTTTGATGGAAGACCACGGCAGCACAGCATAAACACCTGAAAACTTCCATTGGTTTTATAAGAAATATATTCTTGTTTTTTCTGATGTGTTCAAAACACATCAAACCTTGAATTCAAAGAGAGGAACATACCAAACTGTATATTTTGTTTACCATTGTACTCCTGCTTTGTATGGGTAATATGTGGCTCTGACAGAGGTCATATAGAAACTAGTTACTGGGTTAAGAAACCGCTTATTACATTTTAGTCCATTTGCTGTAAAAACAAAAACAATATTTAAGAAAAATTCATTTTTTTTTGTGATCAACTTTTTATTTAAATTTAACAGATTAACAAAATAGAACAGACAATGGGAGTTACAAAAAAAACAACAAAAAGAAAGAACATGTGGACAAAAATGTTTGTGTACCAAAGTACATGTGCAGAAGTCCACAGTTGAGTCTATTGGAGGTAAGAATGATTAGAAAGGCACTTATTGTCCATGACCCCTTGCCCATCAGTGTCCATGATAAAGTATACATTTTCAAGGCGGCGTAACTACTGAGGTACAGGGCAGCAGATCGGCAGCAGCCACAATGGACAGTTTTCAGTTTGTTTCGAGTCGGAGGAGGGATGTGTTGAGTGTGAGTGACTGAGCTTTATAGTATCATGGAAGGACAGACAGCTGTTTCATGCTGCTGCAGTGTTTCTGTGTATATTGTAGCAGGTTTTGTAATTAATGTTTCTGCTTGTTCGATCATGTGAAAAGAACAGCACGTTGCCTTCTCTTAAACGGAACATGTATAGACATCTGTTGTTTAACTTGACTCTATGAGCCCTACGCTTCTTCAGGGTAATTACAATACTTTTACTTTTAAGCTCACATCTTAGTCTTTACAAGGACTAGCCACACGTGCTGTATTTTGTTTTTTTGAAAACATCCTTAGCTATCCACATCTTTCATCATTTGATATAATGCTTGCAGATATTTACATTATTGTTTATGTCAAGGACATTAATCTCGCCATAAGTGCTGGTAATAGAGAAATCTTTTCATCATTGTGTTGTGGAGATTGTCTAGAATCTGTCAATATAAGTTATGGGATACTGTTTAACAATATTTTTGTTTTTGCTTCAGTCATTGTATTCTGATGCTCTTTCATTTGACATGTTGTTTGTAATTAGCCCTCGCCTTCTTTGACACCAATCTGG